ACATCAATTTATAGCATTCATATAAAATGGCTACTTGTTTAAGGACGAAGAGATACCTTGACAGTTATACATATATGAAATTAATCATTAAAATTATTTTGTTGATTCACTTATTTCTGGTGCGTAAATTTATAGTGTTCATACAAAATGGCTACTTGGTTAACCTTGACAATTATATATAAAATTAATCTTTGAAATGGATTATCAAAATTACATAAAATTTCACATGATCCAGTAAATGAAAATTGTGACAATAAAAACTTGATAACATAAATGTATTGTAATATAGCACTTGTTGTATATCAATTGGTCGAGCAGAAAATGGCTACCCTAAGATTGCATCAATATTCTGAATATAAATTGGTTGTTCTTTCCTGAAGCAATCAATAACTCAACCAAGGTACCTTGTCAGTATTCTCCATTAGCAAATAACCAATTTTCACTGGCATTTGAGAATAAAAGTACATTTTGCTCTAAATTTATAGTTTCCATTTAAAATAATGTAACCAAAAAATAGCCTCCATATATTTCTTTATATAACTTTAACAGGAAAATTTGATAAAAAATTTCTGACTGTAAGCAGTATAAATTTTCAAAAAATTGAGATCATATTATTTTGTTGAAATAACTTTTGATTTCATGCTCGAAACTATAATAAATGTTATAACTCATGAAAGCTGGTGTAAAAAATATTAATTAAGTTTGAATTATTCAAAAATATTTAGTAACGTATGAGTAACATATGAGTAACATATGAGTAGTATATGACTAACATATGAGTAACATATGAAACAAGTTTATAACTCATGAAAGCTAGTGTACAAAATATTAATTAAGTTTGAATTATTCAAAAATATTTAGTAACGTATGAGTAACATATGAGTAACATATGATTAGTATATGAATAACATATGAGTAACATATGAGTTACATATGAGTTACATATAAGTAACATACGAGTAACATATGTTATGTTACATATGAAACCAGTTTATAACTCATGAAAGCTTGTGTAAAAAATATTAATCAAGTTTCAACTATTCAAAAATATTTAGTAACATATGAGTAACATATGTTAAGTTACATATGAAAATTTTCGATAGACTTCAATTTTGTTATAAACGAATTCCAACATGAACAAGTGCTATTTCATTACATACACTTCAGCACTACCAATTTATATCGAACTTCCATTCCAAAATTGTCCATTCAATATGCAGCATAATTAATCGTTCCGTACATAATTACCATCACCATATCAATTCATTCAAAATACGAATTATGCAAAATTTAATACAAACACTTTCAAATTACCAAAAATTTGTTTATTCCTAAATACACGACCTAACAAATTTTTCACTTAAAATTAAAATAGATAAAATAGATTAAAATAGAGAAAATATAGATTAAAATAGATAACGTTTCGTAACAAAAGGTGATAAGCTATTCAAAAGAAAATGCAAACTGGCAAGTCTCTGCCAGTTCTTTGAACACCAAAATCCGATTGTCGATCGAGTCGAGACGATGGATAATGGATTAATTGTAGAAGAACCGCAGAAAATTCGCAGGTTTAATCCGATTCGGAAAAGGAGAAATGGTCCCGTTTCTCCCGGTGTTCCTACGGGACCGATTGCTGGCTCGATCGTACGTGTCGAGGCTCGATTGGCGCTTCGTCGATGAAATTAGTTCGGTTGCCGTGCACAGAACCGCATCGCCTCGGGCTGTGTGCTCCTTTGATCTGCTCTTCGCTTCGCGAGAACGCCTGGGACATCGCGACAATCGCCTAACACGATTACGATCGAAACCGTCCGTGTTCCTTCCGCTCTACGTCCAATTTCTTGCCAAGCTGAAATGCTGGCGAAATTTTAATCGAACCCCTTATCGAACGCTCGATCTTTTCTACTCGCATATTTCTTATACTTTCTAAGGTTAATTAAATCTTGAGGATGTGAGGTTTTTGAGACTGGTTCAAATCTTTTTATTTAACGACGAAGTTGAACTCTTCACTGTTTTAGAGATTTTTTTATTTGTAGCGTAAATTTGTACTCTTTGTGTAAAAATATGGGTCACTAATTTTTAGTGAAATTTTTATAATACTGCAATTGTTTAAAATAAAGCGTAAGAGAAATTTTTCGTTGTAACTCAAATTGAAAATTGTATACTGTACTTTTTTATGCAATTATTGTTGCAAATATATATTTTTTATTTCTGCAAGTTTCTAATGTACATTTTGACAAATATAAAATATGAATACATTAACTTATCTTTAACTTCAATAAAAATTTTTTTACTTTTACTAAAAATTATAAGAATAATAACATTAATAAGAAACCCTCGTAACTCCATCATTAAGTAACCTTGAAAAAATTTTCAAACGTCTCACAAATCTTCCCAAAATTTAATTACTCCTCATTTAAAGAAAAGATCGTATAATAGAAAATTATAGGTTAAAAATTCATCTGTAAGTTTTTACTCCAAGGGTTGTAACCTTAATCTAACCTTAATTTTGTGAATCACAGAACTTGAAATGTATCCTAAATTTATAAGGATTTTATTAAATAGCAGTGTTGTACATTTACATTTTTCCCCGTGAATTTTATCTTGACAATTTTTTCACTACGCACACAGAGACTTGTGTTTATTCTATCCCGTTGTACAACCAAAATACACACGGTCGAAGTAGTTACGTTTTTCTCCCTGCTTGGGAACAACATCGTATTCGTTCATGCATTTTACATGTTTCCTGATACAGTGTAAATATAAATAAACTGCTGTCCAGATTAAAGCGATGCGTAACATTGCGGAAACCGTAACATTTTATCCCGTTAAAATGCAAAGAGGATACATTTTATGTTTCGATATTAAGGGGTCAGATTATTCCCAGATAAAAAAATCCGACATTTATTTTTTATACAAATTTTTCATAGAAATCATACATAAATATTTTTCTGAACATTTATCCGAACAAATACGGCGAATTCGATACGTACGATCGAGTATATTTTCAATGTAACATAGAACAGTGGATAAGAAATTTCATATAATTCATAATTGCATGAATTCGCAAAGATTTTACCCAAACTCGTAGTTACATAAAAAAGTTCTGTGAGATAAGTTCTGTAGATTAATTTGAGAGATCACAAAATTTGAGAGTAATTAGATGTAAATTAGGATTTAAAGAAAAACAGGAATGGTATCAAACTATGCATAAAATAATGCTGAAGTGGCACGTGTAAACGGTTAGGGAGGGTCGCCACCGCAACTTCGAAACTAACGAGATGAACCCAACTCGGTTAAGAGGTCTGACCAGCTTGATACGTTGCATTACGTCCGCCTGGTTACCATTAGTACTCCGAGTGTTAATGTCGAAATAATTGTGCGCGTGCATGGCAACACCGAACACCCGCAACACAACACCGCGAACTAAACACAAGAGAGCCCCAAAAATGGACAAAGTACTATTTCGCGTGTGTGAAACCGATTGAGAAAGTGCTCGCATACCAAACTAGGCTACACTCAGAAAAAAAACAAGAATGAAATTCTTGAAGAATATCGTAGCTGATGGTTTGTATTGCACAGTTTCTTAGAAGGCACAAAAATCTCTCTTTTGTTCGACTTCTCGACTTCCTCGAACGAATTTCGAAATCCGAAACGTTTTTCCGAGTGTAGACAAGGTTAATTATTTACTCACTGTCTCCTGCTTGTGTTACCTTCTTCGTTCTCTTTTTTTTCCTTTTTTCTTTAGCCTATAAGCTGTCTGAAGCGTGATCTGCTGTTGGTCCGAAACGACAGAACGAACGAACACTTTTGTTTCCTCTCTCAGTAGAAGAATAGTATCTTGTTCAATTTTGGATATTACATACGCACGAACCGTCCCGTTAGACCATTTTTTTAGACGCTAGCTGCTATGCCGCGGTTGCTGACATGGGCTGCCCGCCTGCCACCACTTATACAATTATTATTATTCTCTATATTTTATATTCCGCCCGAGAGAACCCTTGTCGCCCGAGCGCCCCTGACCCCGATCACCGTCACCGCCACACTACCTTCACCCCCTGTGTCTGACACCGCACGTATCACACGTTCGTTTACGAACACGAGAACGAAAAAAAGAACGAAATACCCCCGGACTCGAACGACGTCCACACGTCCGATAAAATACGAACCGATTCGAAATTTTATCAAACGCGACCATGATCCGTCCGGAATCGACGATCGCAGTGACAATGACAGCAACTTGCGAATTATACGTATATCCGTTTCTGAACTCGTGCCAGACTCTCGACGAAGAGAACAAAAAACAAAAGAAAACAACAAATACGTCGCTCGGGAAATGGACAGGTAAAGCGAGTCAAACACCGGGGACAAACATGAAAAAGCGGATACTTTTCTTTGTGTTTCTTTTTTTTATCGAGACATTAGACTTGACACGATGCAAGAGAAACGGAAACACTTTCTCGGAGGGAGAGAACGTGTCAAGAGAACGAGAATAAAAAGAGATGAAACGAATAGACGAGAGAAAGTGAAAGAAAAGGTAGTTAAGGTGATACCTTGGTACACGTGACTGTGATGGGTGTATATATAGAATGAGGATTATATATACATATATAACGGTCAAGTGTGAAACGATTCTTCTAGCTTGGAAAACAACGTGGCCGACGAGTGCTGTTGATTTGGTTCCGTGCAGGGTGCGAGCTCTCTTCGACTTGTACGCTTGCATTTTACCCCTGACTCTCGTCCCGATCGAATCGGCGATTATCGTTTGACGAAGATGCAAAAAAAAAAAGGAGACACCCCTGAATTCTCCGGAACACGAACCAAATCGCTCTATTTGTTTATCGTTTTTCGTAGAGCACAGGCCTCGTGTCCGTGAGTCAGGGGTAGCACACCAACTTAACTGTTATATTACCTATCTACGTACAATCTCTACCTGTCACGGAAAACATAGAAACTAGCGGATAATCAGAGCGACCAAGGCCGGATGGTTTTGTTGATTGCAGGTCCACCAGTGGAGGTCGGCGTCACCATGTATGTCCTCAGCATCAGCTCCGTGTCCGAAGTGTTGATGGTACAGTTTTCATTCTCAAACTCATACAGAACTCACATCCGAACAGCCGTTCGTTCATTTCTTTCTGATACCTCCCTTTATACTTGGTTCGTGACGTCGCGTGGTATTTCTTCCCCCCTTCACACGAACGTTCATCGGAGACTGATCGTGGCAACTGGAGATCGTCCATACCGATCGAACTCGACGCGATCGATCGACGTCGCATCGATCCATCGTGTCGAACCGTATCGTCCGTGGAGACAGCTTTTGCCGATCGCGAACCGTTCATCCCACTATGCCGCTTGTTTCCGATTGTTTGTCACGCGATTCACCCGGCGTGCGTGTGTGTGCGTGTGGGCCCGCGTCGATATTTGTCGAATATAAAATCGCCCGAACGGAATTATTCATGCCCGGGAAAGTGTTCCCCGGGTGGAACGGAAAAAAGAAAAACACGCGGATCGATCGCGACCGAGGAAGACTAAAATCGTGGCGTTTCGAAATTTCGAGGAATTCTCGACGGGTAACTGGGGAAAACGTGCACCAAGGGATACATAGGCGACTCGCGATATTTATGTTGGCAGCAAGGGGCATATTGGCACGTACACCTACATATTTGCATCCATACGCATATATACGTTCACCGTACACACACGGTACAGGAGAAAAATACATACACACACACATGTACACACACTACACGGATGGCCTACTAACCTACGTTTTTATAGCTCGTCACAGCTGTTTGGTTGGCTGAACTGTTACAAGGGAACCTTGCTACGTTCCACAGTCTTCGCAAGATATATTCTTGTCCACTTCGTTTATGGTTTATGGTTGACTCGTTTAATTCGATTTGCGATGTTCTTGTTGCATGGCCCTACCCGCGGTGCTCGAATCCGCGACCAAATCGCATAAACTCAACGCGATTTTTTTTCACCGTTATTTTCACCACTTTTTTCGAGCCATGGATTTTTAAGCTCGCGATTCGAGCACTGCAGGCCGCACATATACGTTGAGGCACGCATATATACGCGTAGACGTACACGTACTTTCGTAAATCATAGATGTATACGTATATAAGCGTGTGTGCAGCGTTATCACGTATGGTATACATGTATATATATATGTACTCGTATATATACACCTGTATATGTACATGTATATTTTCTTTCTCCATATTTAAGATACGTATATAGCGTAATGATATAACGTATTGTGTATTGCGTATACTCCTGTAGTATTCAAAGGTATGTGTTCCGGTGTCTGCAATCGGTTGCAAACTGGCACATGACTGGATCCATTTACTTTTTACATACTTACACATCAACTTCGTATGAAGTTTGGTTAACCCTTTCATACCTGACTTTTTCTTTGATTGAACATCTCAACAACTGGAAAATTAAATGACCTAGAATTTGTTCATTAAAGAGGTTACTGTACACCAATATGTTGATGAATGACATGTCAGGCTGCAAAAATAAGTTCTGTTGTCTTTGAATTCAAAATAAAATGTCATGTACATTATAATGTATACAGGAAGGGTTAAAGAACATTCTCTTTAATTCGGTTGAAGAGAAGAATGTAACCTATCGATAGATGAATGGTTATTGTACATAAACATCATTTTATAACTGACATGTTTCATATGTCTTTAAGAATAAAATAAATGTCATGTACATGTGTAAAATATTTGAAAGGGTTAAGAGAATGATGTATCGATATTTGTTGATCAATGGATATAGTTGAAGTCGAGGAGAACTCGATCCAGAGTGCGAGTTTGAAACTGAATGCACGAGACTGGACCCCAGGTGTTGAGCCCTGTGCGGAAACCAAATCAAGTCGACACTGTCACCTGGGACGTGACTCGCGATTTTTCTACCCGTTGGCGAGCCTTCAACACACAATCCCGGTGTTCCTTGATCCTAGAATCCTTCGGTCCGAACGTTCCAGAAAGAAGCCAATTTTCCTGCCAATTTGCGTTCCCTTTTCCCACCGAGGGCGAGAAATCTCGCGCCACGCCGCAGGATAAACCCTCAGCCTCCTCCCTCTTGCATCCCCGTGGACAATCGGTTTTATCAGACGGACGTCACGACTAACCGAGGAAAAATGTGCGAAGGAAAACGGCAGAGAGAATCCGTGAAACGATTCGACGTGAAATACAACCAGACCGTGATCCCCCTGTATCCCAGTTCCCTTCCGGCCAGCCGACGATCTCGCATTTAGAGAACGAAGTGTATAGCTCGTGCGACGTTGCGACTACGATCGAGGCTACAATTATCTCTTTAGATATATATGATATTGTTTCGTATATTTCTATTACATTATGGATATAAATACGACACCTATATGAGCTGTATCATTGTCAGTGTGTGCAGTACGCTTCTGGTCGCTATCAATCACTATGAGATGCCGTACACGTTCTGATTATTATTCTATCTGTGTGTGTGAGTGCGAGTGGGTGGGCTTGTACGATCTTGTGTGCACATTAATACACGCTGGTGTGTGTCGCGAGATGCGTGCACGCGTGCCACACAGAACAAGCCACTCGTCGGGGCGCAAACAGCACGATGAGAAAAAATATGGGCGAAATACGCCCATCGTACGAGCCTCTCTTTTTGCCTTCCGTCATACACACGTTATGTTACGTTTCTTCTTGATTTTCAGGTTTGTTTTCGTATATATATATATATATATATTTTCCTTTATTTTCGATTCGCTTTGCAGGCTTATGCTTGGAATGCTTCTCTGTATATGTAAGCTTCGTCACCTGTGTTCTATGTTTTCTTCTGTTCGCTAGTTTCTATCGCTAGTAGATGCTGCTAGATTATCGAGAGCTTCAAGTATTTTAGGGGAGAATGGAAGTAACTGACGGAAAGTGTAACGCGTAATTTTGCTAATGGAATGAAGCTTCATCGAATTGAAAGAAATTTCAAAATTTCGCATTGAGAAATTAAGTTTTCAAGCTTGAAATATTTTTAAGTCAAGTTTGGGGAAGTTTTTTTTAATCAAGTTTGAGGACATTTTTTTAAATCAAGTTTGAGGACATTTTCTTAAATCAAGTTTGAGGACATTTTTTTAAATCAAGTTTGAGGACATTTTTTTTAAATCAAGTTTGAGGACATTTTTTTAAATCAAGTTTGAGGACATTTTTTTAAATGAGGTTTAAGGAGGTTTTTCTAAAAATATTCATAAGTATAGAGATGAATTAAAAACTGTAGGGAATGTATTTGAAAATATAGAAACATTGAAACGTTGGAATGTTGTAGTAATATAAAAATGTCATAACAATTGGAAAATTTGGAAAATTGTAAGCTTGACAATATGAAAATAAAGTAGTTAATATAACAATATATAATAGTAATATACTAATATGACAATATACTAATAAAATAATATATGAAAATATAGAAATGTAATAATATAAAAATATAGTAAAAAAAAATTTGATATTTAACAATTAGAAGATTTGTGAAATTGAAAATTTGAAAGTACAAAAGTATAATAAAATCTAAAAATGTAGAAATAACAAACTAAATACAGAAATATGAATTTAAATATATAAATGACAAATTAAATATAAAAATGTCAAAATAAATATAGAAATGTCAAATTAAATATAGAAACGTGAAATTAAAAAATTATAAAATTTCAACCAAGGGTAAATAAATTTAAAGGAGAGAATTGCATAAAATTGTGTTGCACGTTGCGGTAGTCGCTTCCATTAGCCTTAACGATGTCAACGACGTTATCGATATATCGTTAGGCATCGATATTCAATCGATATGTCATCGATAATCGATAGTGCCTTGAGCTGGTAGGCGAACGCTTGCGACATTTGTCTGCCCGTGACTCTTTCTCCTCTTGTCAGAGACAATATTTTAGAAAATATCGTTGGATAGTGTACTCGAGAGAGCGCGATCGAACTTCTCTACATCTTTATGAATTAATCATTTAATCCGCTTATACGTCGATGGACAAAGCACGAGCTGAACTTGGAATGACTTCACTTATCGAAGCATATAGTCGACAATGTTTTGTCATCGCTTACAATTATTCTGTATAACTTGAAATTGTTCGATGTAAAATCAGACTGTGGAGATATAAATATTTTTTCGAGATTTGTTGCAAGATTTAATTATACTGCAATTATACTTCAATTATACTTAAATTATATACTGCAACTATACTTCATTAGTCCCTCAATTAAACACTGTATATTCGAACATTAAATTATTATCGATGATTCAATAAAGATGATTTAAATTATCGATGATTCAATTGAGAAGATTTAAATTATTAATGACTCCAAATTTTCGCACCGCGAATTGATGTTTATATATTTTGTATATTACTCAACGTTCAATATTCGTTAACTGACACGGTAATTAGCAGTGATTGACACCTTGCAATGGTGTGATGAACTAAGCGAGGATATGAGAGAAATTGAGTTATTCGGTCAATTAGAGGTGGAAAATTAAACTCGAAGATTGATCGATGATAAACTGCTAAATTTTCTGCAATTAAATTATTAATGATTATAAAAGTGGAAAGACGACTTCGAATGACTTATAATTTATTAAACTTTTGTATTATGTTGAAACTGTTTTTCAGATTTTTAGATTCTGAGGTTTCTAACGTCCCTAGTTATGTCATGTTTCATGCCTGGATTCCTAGATTCTAATATTCTTAGATGACGTCCTTAGTTATTTCGTGTTTCATCTCTAGGTCCCTAGAGATAAGAATGTTCTTAGATCTCTATTTTCTTGGATCCCTATATCCTTAGATCTCTATGTTCCTATATTCTCAGATCCTAGATCCTTTCCTAGATTCCAAGATTCCTAGATTTGTAGATACCTGGATACTTTATATTGTCCCTAGATTCCTAGATCATTTGATCCTAAAATCCTTATATGGGTCCCACATTCACATATGGGATCCACTCATGTTCACTCTTATGTTTCTACTTCCACATATGGGATCCACATATGGGATCCACCCATGTCCAGTCTTATGTTCCCACATCC